AAGTGCACTAACACAAAAGTGAGCGATCATTCTTTTTTTTCACATTTTTCACATATGAAAACTAAATCTAAAAAAAATAATTAAAAAGAAAACATAAAGTCTATCGAGCAATAGTTGGGCAGCCTATGGTTATTTTGGGTTGCCCAATCAATTCTGCCTCGTTTTGGTACAAAACCACCAGCTCTCACRCAACTCGTTTTAACATCTGCGAATGGGCAATAAGCCATTTTCAGGATGGCGTAACTTTACTACAACTACCAGAGAGCCTTGCGCATTTTCATTGTTATTCAGGTTTTTAATCCCCTTGGAGATTAATATAAAACAATTTGCACTAATTGCATTTCAAAAGAAAGTTGGCAAAGCATTCTGGTAGTTGTAGTAAACGACGTCATAATGCAAATCGGCTATTGCATACCCTAATGTAACGTAATAGCAATATAGATTTAAAGATGGATATACAGATGTATAGAAGGTAAACGTACAATCGACTCCGAGTAAAAAACGTCCATATTTCACACAAAGATCTGACCGTTGTTCAAACTGAAATTTTGATCGGACATTTTAAGCTGAACCAGGTCTTTTTGTTAGAAAATAAATTATGATTAGCCTACTTACTTCTCCACAAAGGCAAACGTCTAACGACATTGCTATAACAAGCAGTGAAGAGTCCACCAGTACCAAAAAACACAATTGTCCTGATCATTTTCGTGAGGTCAAATTTCTGAAGCTCAGAGCCTGCACATTTGTCGTCCAGCGGAAAGAAGAATGGAAGACCGCTGACAAACTAATCGCACGAGGTGAGCGGTTGCGTAAGCCGGTGCCTTACGAAGTGAGGTATGTAATTTGGAAAATTTAGAAAATTTCATATTTTTATTTGTTGCAGTACTTAGTCAGACTAACATTTCGATTATAGTTTATACGCAAACAAGTGAGAATACAAACTGCTTGGATTCTTCGTGAATTGTTTTTAGTTTTTTATTTTGTCAAAGCTTTGATACCAGAAATGTTTCCACGTGTCTGTGCGATGAAGTTTGTCAACGTACGTATATTCTGATTGAGCTAATTATCATATCGTGTCTGTTTCTTCTTTACTCTGCAGTTTCGCAGTTCACTTCTGATAGGCATTTCGTGTGGCATTTCAATTATGCCGTCTGTGGACTCCTCCGCTTCGCAAGAACGAAGTCCGGAGATGATGTGTCCTCATTTGAAAAAACTGTCCGAGCAAAATCAGGCTGCACAGCAGACTACTGATATTTGTGCTGATAAGATTTCAAAACCGGAACCCCAAGGTATGTTATGCGGATTTGATGGTAACTCAAACTTTGTTAATAAACTTATCAGGATTTTGGAGAAGTCACAGGCTGATCCCCCTCAATTCTCAACTTCAGGGCTTCTCTGCTTGACTGGCAGACGACAGAGAGAGCCCTGGTATTTGTTGGTCACATGATTAGATTTACACTCAGCTGAGCCATAGGCTAGACACAATGTGCGCAAAACTATTGTCTGCATGCACACTTTGCATTTGTGGTTTACCTGGGGGATACGACAGGATCCTGTGCCTCCTCGTGGGATACAAACCAGTTATGAACAGGGTATGAAATATTGGTCGCGAGATAGATGCTTCATACCTTTTTTCATGAGAAATGTTCATTTTATGAGCAAATGAATAGGGTATTTTTACGCAACGTGGACCCATGTGTGCACCAGGCAGCTGCAATCGTATGCAAAATAAACAGAACACCCTACCCTCTTTCCCCACTGCAAGGTTGTTACAACATTCCTTTCGCCTCCTTGTCAAAATTGTAGCATTTCATTGACGAACAACATTGTAAAAGGAGAGGAGAGATTGTAGTAACACAATCTTAGAGACGGTGTTTCACACAATTTTGCAAAAGATTGTATTTGAGTTGGTATGACTGGAATGTTGCTGTGCCGCAAGTCAAGAACACGTAGAAAAACTCCGCAAAAAGAGTCAAATCCGCCTGARAATCACATAGAAAATGGAATGCTGCAAAAATATATTATCTAAGCTGCAGATAGGACGGATATTTTTTTTGTTTTGATAAGCTAAGAAATTTATAGATATGTCATGATTATTTTAAATAGAGAATTAAATACATTTACACGAATATATATATATGGTATTTTTTCAGTTTAATACAGAATATTGAGTTTTAAACTCAATCAAAAACAACTAGAAAGCTGATCAGGATTCTCAGGCTCATATAYGGAGACTATTCAAAATCTTTTGCCTGCTCGGTTTCTGATGTTGTACCCAGCTGCCTGGTGCACACATCATGCATCCATCTCACAACAAGTGTTTCATACCTTGTCAAAGTACAGTAATAGTTTGTATCCCGTGAGGCATGGGATCGTGACGAATACCACAGGTAATCCACATGCAGTGCGGGCGCCAATAATGATATCATGCTCGTTCTGTTCTTCTCTCGAGCAATAGATGGGCAACCAATGATCTGAGCTGGGTGTTTTTATGGAAAACCAAATAATACTGGCACTCTTAATGCTGTTGACCATAGATCAAATACAACATAATGATGGATGTCATTCTGGATGACTTTCATTTTCGGGAAATAGATTAAGGGTGGGGTCAGGTCGCAGCCCAAAGAACATTGCTGGTAATTGGTTGGCTCAACACAGCTTGACTCTAAAGAATGAGGCATAAACAATAGAGCCTATTGTTCTAGCCAGCCAATCACAGTGACTTTTTTTTAGAGCTGCGAGATCTCTGGAAGGGTTTTATTTTATATTATGCAAAACGAAATACAATTATATGTTATTACAAAATGTGAAACTACAAGTACATCCCGAGGACTTTCCAGTGTTAATAATATTCTTAATTTTGAAGAAGAGTATCTATTTTTCTACCGTTTGTATACCGGGGTGGGAGTATTCCCTCCCAACTTGGTATTCCCTCCCAACTTGGATGGGAGTGTGCCGCTGTGACCTTAAAACCCTGACCCTGTTCCAGAATGAAATCGCTGAAAACTATACCCTCCGGAATTAAACCCTGACCCTGTCCCAGAAAAAATTCATCGGAATCGATACCCTGTTCCAGAGTAAAATTGTTAAAAACGATACCCTCTTCCAGAGTAAAATCGCTGATAACGATACCTGGGTTGGCGGCACATCCCCGTATAGCGAATTTAACAAATCGAAATCGCTTTTCTATGGTCTGTGTGCTTATAGACAATGAAAATGACGTCAGAAAATGATCAAAACTGAAGTGGAACCACGAGCTACGTAATCATTTTCTGGTGTCATTTTCATTGTTAATAAGCGTACAGACCATAGAATAGCGATTTCGATTTGTTTTTTACCATAATAAAGCCGAAAACAAAGTAAAACTTTTAAAACAAAATCGTTTCTGGCGCGCGCCGGCTGCGTGTGCGAGCGATTCGTCATTTCATCGGTCTGTCCTAGAATCGACAACAGCTCTCGACCAATCAGCGCGCGAGAATTCTACAAGTTATGGTAAAACTAGGGGAGTTACCCACCCACCCCGGGCTTTGTATGCTGCAATATCAAATATGTAATGTATAATTTTATTTGTTCTTAGTCCAGAATAATGAGGGGAATACATCTCCTGATATTCCTATTGGTACTGTTACCATAGAGTTTGTTATCCCTGGTACAAGTGAACCTGTCTCTGCTACGGTAACTCTCTATTTCTTGATTGATTTAAGTGAATAACTGTTGCCTTACATGCCCTTTGAAAATTTTTATAGAGTATTAAATAAATGCAGGGGCGGATCCAGCATTTTTTTGGACTAGTTTCCAACTCGAAATATTTTGTATTGACCTATGCTAATTAATTAAAACATGAATATTTATAACATCGGCCTGAAGAAACCAAATGTTTATTTAACTGTCTGCAAAATGATGCGATTCTAATAAACTAATTAAGCCGATTCAGCCAATTTTTTAAACATACACAAGGGACGACAATGCATGGTAGATAACACTATACTAGCTATCGAGTTCCAGAAAGTGTATTTTGAATCATCAGCAATTATTTTCAATACATACCAAGCACAAAGAATGTTCACATGAATCTGAATCTGTTTGGCGATTCCAATGTATACGAATTTGCTTGGAACGGTTCCACGAGTGGTTTATCCACATTCCTGCACAAAAGGAACAGATTTAAACAGTGTTGGTAGTATTTCTGACATCAATTCTTTTTCCATTTGCTCAGTTAGTGTTGTTAGGTTATTATTT